TTTTTTTATTAACTATAAAATCGTTATTAACTATAACAACGTGTCACATTAAATGTGCATAAATGTGATCCGCGGAGATCTCATGAGTCAGAAATGCCTGCTACCAAAGGCAGGAGACACAAACAGCCTTAATAACATAAGTGGCTCCATAGTTCAGTGGTTTTCCCCGGTCAGAGGCCATGAGGACACAGCATTACGTGATTAAAGGCATAAAAAAATCTAATCAAAATCAAAATTGTAGATTTGTCTGCTGTTTACGGATAAAGAAACAAATCATGTTACAATGAAAATAAAAATTGAAATATGTCCTCAGATTTAAGGCTTTGAGGCTTTCCTGTATCATAAAGGACAGAAACCGACACGTTTTTTATTAAAATAAAAAAGCTGGTAAACATTTAACTGATGATTTAATCAATAAATAGAAAATATAAAATGAAATAAATCTGAGTCTTTCTTTTAAAAAAAAAAACAACCCTCAAGCATCATTTTAGCAAAGCTAAAAAAAAAAGGAATTTTTAAACAATACTGAACACGTGACCTTGATGTGTTTTTCGATTATCTATTTGTGAGCAGCGCCCTCTGGCGGTCACATGTTTAGCTATAAAAGTGTATAATGGCTCGTTTTTCTTTTCCAGGCCGGTGTCCGACTGTAATGCATCCAGTAAGCTCAGCAGGAAAACCTCATGCTCGCATGTTTGTTGCCTTTCATGGAGAGGAACGCAGACTTCCTGGATACACCTGACAGAGCGCGAACACCCAACAGGTAGGACACACACAGGGTCGTTAAAATTGAGCTCAATGAAATTTATTAACAGGTCATATCAAGCAAGGCCACTCTGATATCAACAGCTCTTTTTATAATAGTCATAACAGTTGTAAGAAGAAGAAGAAATAAATATGGTTTAACTGTTTTATGTCCTGATTAACTCACAAACTGGTTACAGATGTTATTTTTTAAATTCTTCCTCTAATCAAAGTGTTTTGTCTTCACAGGGTAACGATGATCTGGATCTTTTTACTTTTCAGCCTGACTCCTGTCTGTGAGTTTCACATCGAAGTAATTTTAGGTGAACAGAATAAACACAATGAGAGGTTTTGTTTAAATAACTCGACACTCCTGTGTCTCCTCTGCAGGTGCAAAAAGGACTCAGAGTGTCTATGAGGCAGAGGAGGACGACAACATCACCATCAGATGGGACAGTCAGCTCCAAGCTGACGTGTCTCTCATCAATATGATGTGTGTTTTCCACTCAGGTGTCACTAAGATTCTCTATAAAATGATCAGAGGAGTGGAGGACTCTGAGTCTCAGCATGAGCAGTTTGCAGGACGGGTTCACATCGACAGAGACGCCCTGAGAGGAGGAAGAGTCAGACTTTATGTGTCAGGAGTCACAGCTGAAGACTCTGGAAACTACCGCTGTGATCTGGCTGCTGATTATAACAAGGTCCTGAGGAGATGGGAGCTTGAGGTCTCTGGTAAGCTCAGCTGGTTGTTATTTTGTTATTTTCCATTTCACTGAGCTTTTTGTTAAAGATCCAGCAGTGCTGCTGCAGCTTGTTTCACACTGACACTGATTTCCTCCACAGAACATTTTGTCTTGAACGTGGCCCAGAAAATTAAAGCATCTCCCACAACTCCACTGTCTGAACTGACGGCTGCTGAAGGTGAATGAGGAAACATTACCATGATCGCTCTTTTAATAATGTAACACCAGGAAACACTGAGCTTATAGCGCCTCCATCTGGACAGGCAGGCTCATTTCAGCTGGTAGTTGAGTGTTGATGTTCAAAATGCAGTTTTTCTGTGAGATTCAGCTGTTGCTGCTGTGATTTTCCTTCTCTATAACACGTGTGAAACTCTGGAGTTTGTACGTACTTTGTCTCTAGGGGCCACCGTCTATATTTATATATAAACATATATAAAAAACACATTTTTTAACATTAGTAATTCCTTTTGTGCATAATTTTATATTGTTGTTGTCACGGGCTGCGACGGCAGACCGTGGAGTTGTAGAGAAAGTAGGGCCCAAACGCGAGACTCTGGTGAAGGACAGT